CATGTGGTGCTGGGGGATTGAACCGCGGTCGCTGATGTTTTGCCAAGCTTGTTCTAAGTAGGTGCCTTAGACCACTGAGCCATCTCTCCAGCCCTGGCCTGTGTATTTTAAATCTTAGGTTAGGATCTGAATGGTTTCCAGGGTGGATGCAGAATCGTCATGAGAGCTTGTTTGGAGGTTCTAGCAGGGGTGCACAGCTACTAGGAAGAGTCCCCTATATCGGGTGGTCGTCCTCTTGGACTGTGTGCAGCTTCAAGGGGGACATATGAGGAGCATTGTGGGAGGAGGGGGATACCCACCTAGCCAGCCAGATGAGCCGAGTCAGCCCTGGCTATCTGGGGGATCCGTGGGGTGACGTGCCGCAGCTGATGGCCAGCATATCCCAGAGCAGTCTGGCAGAGGTTCACATCCAGCAGGGGCTATTTTAAGGTGGTAGTTTTTAATCAAACATACTAAGTCTAGTTAGAAGGAATGTCTACTTGTCTATGAAGTTTCTTTCCTAAGCTAGACAAGTGTTAACTACAACTAATAACATGAGCCTGGAGAGTGGAATAGAAAATGTTTTTGAGGAATCTTGAAGCAAAAACTCAGAATTAATTCCCTTTATAGTGCACTTCTAAGCACAACTTTCTAGTCCCTCTTTTTGGCCTCTGGTTAAATACATGTGCAGCTCTCTAGAACTTAGAACTCCTATTAGAGACTCACAAGTAGCTTAGTCGCTGGGCATCACTGTTACCCAAGGACAGTAGCATCTCTATGAGTGTGTCATAACTTAGCCTGGAGAGGTAGTGAATTGATGAGGGATGCCTTTTCCAAAATTAGATTGCCTTTCCTAGCCAGGCTGTTTTCCCTCTTTTGCAAAAGTCAAGTTGCTAGGAAGTTTTTAGGAACTTAAAAATCTACCAAAAGAAAAGTTTCCTACTATAGACCAGGTCAAGTAGCATGGTGAGTAGTGGATACACATGCTGAATGGCACACACTACCACTGAACACTTGGCCCTGGATGCTTGTTCCCCAGCTCATAAGAAGGTTGTGAGGGCTGGGGAGATGGCTCAGCAGAATAAGCGCTTTCCTGGCAAGTGTAAGGCCTGAGTTCAATCCCTGGTCCACCCCCCTAAAAAAAACCCAGAAGGTTGTGAGCCACAGAGGTAGGCAGCCAGTTTTTCTTAACTCATATTTCCCACTCAAAGGTGTTAGGTTTAGTGGAAGTGTGGATTGTGCAGTTTTTCAAAGACAAGCTGAGAAAAGAGCTGCTGCTTTGCAGCTGCTGAGGCAGATTGAACGTTTTCCTGAGTAGGATGCACCAAGAAGTTACTTGGCATCGTTGCTGCCGCCACACCTACATTAATGATGCCTAAGTTTAGGATGCAAAGAGGTCAGAAAGAGGTAACTTTCTGAGAAGGCGTATCTATGGGGATTGATGGTGGTATAAGCAACAGCTAGCCTTTTCTGGGTCTAAAGGGAGTACAGTTTTGGCCTGGGAGATAGCTCAGCAGCATAAGGTCCTGCCTGGCAAGTTTGATCCCCGGTAACAAACAAACAAGGGGTACAGTTTGAGGGGAGGGAAAGTGGAAAATAGCCAAGCCAAGACAGGAGGAGTGTGGAAATCCATTCCTGATATTCATAGCCAAGTGCAGAGGACCTTGAAAAAAATCCACCCTTCCTTCCACACCCAGCCTTTGCCCTCTCCCCCTGCTTTCATTTCGGAAAGTCTGAAGCATGCCTGGAAAGCTGTTTTCTGCTTTCTTCTCTCTTCCTCCCCCCTTCCTGAGCTCCCAGCTGCTCGACCTCTTGCGTAACTGTGAGGGAGCACTGCGTTTTTTGATGGGCTCCAGATGTGGAGTGGGATGAGGGTAGAGGGGTGGAGGGGCAGGTCTTTAGTCCCCTGAGTGCTCTAACTGTGGGAACACAGAGCCCCGACACAGCAGGAGCAAAGACACACTGCATAGAGCCTTCCTCATGGGGTCACTCCCTGGTGGGGAGACAGTGACAACTGACAGGTGCTGTTCCACCCTCTGCCTCAGCATCAGCTGCCTCTGTAGCCTTTTTTTTTTTTTTTTTTTTTTTTTTTTTTTTTGTAGCCATCTTGATCATTCCTTGAAATTCCGCCTGGCCAAATGGGTAAAGAGGTGCTCAGGATTGTGGAACATAGTGGAATGTCTCTAAGGAGCTCCAATCTGAGCCTCTCCTCAAATGCTGGGTTTTGTCATATAGGATACAGTAGTTTTGGTTCTGTCTTCTGTAACACCCTAGGATACACTGAAAATTACTATTATGATCTGCCTCATAAAGACTGGCCTCAGTTAAAATACTTGCATGAGCTGGTGAGATAGCTCAGAGGACTAAGCGCCCACTTAGGCAAGCACAGGGACAGGGTTCAATCCCCAGCACCACATGCTGCACCGGTCCCACCCCCTTTGAGCTGGCCACCCATTCAGTCAGTGGTGACACACACCTGTAATCCTAGTGCTAGGGAGGATGAAAACAGGAGGATTACCACAAATCCCAGCTGTGTAGTGAGACTCTGTAATATATATATATATATATATATATATATATATATATATATATATTTCCATGAGCTTTGAACAGTATGTAGGTAGGAAGATTAAGAGGCTTGCCCCAGATACACACACATACACACACACACACATGCACACGCACCCCTAGAGTATTTGGTACCCATGGTGGACGCTGGAGCGTGATTGCCTGGGTTAGTTAGACCAGGTAGTAACACTTCTTCGCTTTCTGTGTTGGGGATTGAACCCAGTGCCTCCTGCTTGCTAAACAAACACTACTACCGAGCTACACCCCAGCCCCCACTTTCTGTTCTTGCTGACTGCCTGCCTATGGTCAGCTCAAGCTTCAGGCCACCACCCCTTCCCCAGGGAGGAATGCTAGCCCTGTCAATGAGTGACCAGAGATTCCTGGAGTTCAGCCTCCTGGGTTGGAAGAGGGCACAAACTAAAGCCACTGAATCAGAGCCGGACTTGTCCATCCCAAAGAGGACAAATTACCTTTTCCTATCTACCTCAGCTGGAATTTAGGCCAGACTTAAAGTCTTTCTGCTCCTTCCTTCTGTGAGGAGTATCTGGGGTCCCTCCAGTGTAGGCAAGGAGGTCCCCGTCTAGCTGAGTTCAGCTCCCTGGGGCCTCCCAGCCGGTCTCCTGGGGCAAGAGCTGGCTTTGCAAGGTAAGGATCCACTGTCAGTGTTGGATTTCCCGGTGGGGGCTGAGGTAGAGAATGACTTCAACAGACCAGGTTTCTAGGCTGCCCTTAGATGTTCAGTGCCCCTCTTCCTTATTAACACGCTCTAGGCTAGTGTGTCTCTAGCCCACCTTCCCACTCCCAGTCTAATGGCCACTGGGGTTCGGCTAATGGAGGCAAAATGAAAACTCCATTAACTCCTGTGCTTGGTTTGCACGGTACTTCAACACCTCTTCTTCCTATGCTGTCTCCAGGAGGAAAGTCTGTGGAGCCTGATGAGATATCAATCCCTTACAGCTCTTCACTGAGGTGCTTGGAAAGGGGTGATAGGAAGGGCATCAGATGTTCTGAGGAAATGAGAGTGTGCTACAGGGGCTGCAGTGAGGAGGTTCACTAAGTTTCAGTACCCAAGGGAAGGGTGGAGGAGGGAAGGTGAGAGGAGAGAGACAGAGAGAATGAATGGGAATATATCAAAGCCTAGGGGTGAAGGTGGTCTAGGAGAGTCCGAAGGGGAGGGCAAAAGGAGTGGGGTGTGTGCTGGACAGCCCAGCTGTACAGATGAACAAAGCGGGTGCTGTGCCGGCGAGGGGGTGGGGAGATGCTGCTGTGGGAAAGGGTGGGTGGAGGACCTTGGGCTCCAGCTCCACAAGGGCGTCTTCTCCGGCTGGCCAGGCAGACGGAACGGGACAGGGTAGGGGCGGGGACTAGCGGGAGGGAGGCGGGACGGTTCGCTCTCCTACTCAGCGGGCTCTAGGGGAAAAGCAACAGTGTCCCTCGGAGCCTGAGGCCGCCGTGGCCACGCCGGGCACTGGGACCGTGTCCCACTCTCCCCGAAAGGTAAGCGCGCCCGCTCTCCTACGCCTGAGGGTGCCATTCACTGCAAGGCTGGCGCTATACAGGGGAAGTCCCCGGGGCCTGGCAAAGTCAGCAATGGAATAGAGGGCTCTGAAGTAGCCCGTGGGGGAAGAGGGACATCCCAGGTAAGTGCTTACAGACCAAAGGGGATTTTGTGGCAGTCGGCACTGCCGCTCTCCCGAGAGTTGTTTGCTTTTGCCTTGCCGAGCTGCTGTCAGCCCCACTGCCAAGGGGGCCGTGCTCTCCCGGAGGGACGCTCAGACTTTCAGAATCGCCCGCTGGCACTGCAGGGCCAGGTTGCCACCCTCTGAGTCTTAGGGGCAAGTGTGTGCATCTCAAGCGTCCCCCACTGCCTCCTTTCAACAACAGCAGGACCACAGGGAGGGGGTCTCTTGGGGTGTCTTTGCTCTCGCCCCCACGCCAGCAGCCTTGATGGCCAAGGAAGGGCTGCTGAGTCCTGCTTGATGGAACAGGCGTCCAGGAGGGTTTTTGGTGGTGTCCAGGATATGGGAATGTCGTGGAGGCCTCCCAAACGCTCCTCCAAGGCTTCGCGCTTTCAGGGCTCGGGGCCCCCTGGGGCACCTTGCAGGAGTGACTCCCAGCCACTGCTGGGACCGCGCTTTCGCGGTCTGGACCCAGCGCCTAGCGGAGATCCCCGCTACCAAGCTGCGCCAAGTCATCGGACTCCCCCGGGATGGGGAAGTGCAGCGGGGTGGGGCCGCCCGGCTCGAGGTTGCCGAGGAGCCGCGGACGCTTCCGCGGAGGCGGCGCGAGCGGGGATTTGGACCGTGACCGCACGGCCCGGCCCGGCAGGGGACCCGGGCGCCGGGGCGGGGCTGCATTCTGGGCCCGTTAGCTCAGCGGTCCCCGAGGCTCCCGGGGGCTGACTCATCCGACGGCGGCTCACTCCCGCCGTGGTCACACAAGCACAGGCTCCGCCGCGTCGGGCGTCCACGCGTCGCGCACACACGCAGGTCCAGCACACGCGCAGGACCTCGCCCGCGCCCGGGACGCTCCGTGCCCCGCGCCCCACGATCTCTCTCGCGCGCCCTCCCCGCAGCTGCCCGGCTGGAGCGGCGTCGTGGGGGCGGCCACCCCTTTCCAGGCTGCGCAAACAAGAGTCCCCTTCTCCCCGCCGGGCCAAAGAAAGGCCGCTTGTCCCGGGCGGGCAAGCGGGCGGGGCGGCCCAACACTGCGGCCTTGTCCCCTGCCGTGGCCCAGGGCGGGCCGAGGGGCAGCCGGGGCCTCTCCGGCGCGGAAGTCCCGCGTGGCCCGGGCTTCCAGGAGCTGCACCTCTCCGGCGCCGGCATAAAAGTCGCCCACCCGCTTGCGCGCACAGCTCTCCCGGCACTCTGGCCTCGGTCCCGGGCTGGCGACCTCCGATCTCACGCTCGGGGCGCGGGTGTGCCGGGCCCCAGCTCTTGGGCTTCCTGGTCGTCCCCGCCGTCGCCCCTTCCACTCGAGGCCCCTGTCCCCGCAGACCCTCTTTTCTGCCTTCTTTTTCTCCTCCTGAAGTTCTCCCCGCCCCCGGCCTCGGATACCTCCGCCCCGCCCAGCTCCGCCCGGGCATCCTGCCCGCGGGGCTCCCAGCCTCAGTTTCCTTCCCGTCCGGCCGGCTCCTTCCTCTGACTGGGCCCTTCCTCAAGGGCGGATGTGCGCCGGGAAGGCGAAGGCCACAACCGGCCGAGAGGATCCCGGCTCAGCCCCGCAGGTCCAGCCACAACATGCGACGCCCGGGGCGAGGCCTCGGCTGGGCCCCCGGGACCCAGGTGAGGACCCGGGTGACCCGAAGGGGCGTGCGGAGGGCCGAGCTGCGGCGCCGCTGGGGGCCGGGCCCTTTGCTCCCCCTTTCATCTTGGGGCCCCTTGGGACCTCCTTCAGTGACTGCTGGTGCCAAAGCCGGTGCCCTGCTCCGGGGGCCTCCCTTCACCCTCACTTGGGCGCCGAGACCCCCAAGGAGAGACTGGGGCCCCGCTGGGTGGAGGGGGCGACAGCCTGCACGTTCCCGCCAGGCCGCGGGGTCACCTGCGGGACTCCAGCGTCACTGCACGCGGGGACTCTCGCAGCAGCCCGCCAGACCTGGACACCCGAGTCCGAGGCCGCTGCAGCCTTGCTCTCGTCTACCCGAGTCCAGAAGGGCTCGCGGAAGCCGGATTTGCACCGCAGGGACGATTTGCCAGAAGAGCGGCTGAGGCCGGGTTGGGCTAGGGGCAGCCCCTGGCTGGGATGGAGGGAGGGAGGGCTGGGGTCCGAAGAGAGGGCGACCCCAGGTGGTGGTTCCCTGGGCCACAATGAGACCCCACGGTCACAGCAGGACCTGAGCGTCTGGCAGGTTGGTCTGGTGTCTTTTTCCACTTCTCCTGGATTAAATTTCTGAGCCGAGGTCACGGGCTTGCACCTCCCAAACGCTACATGTTTTCTTATCTTCTCCCTACAACTCTCTCCGTATCTCTCCCTCTCCTTTCACTTCCTTATTGCCTTCTCTTCTCTCCTGTAATCACTCATTTCCCTTTCAAAGTTATTTTTTATGGCCTTTATCCCCACTTGAAGTTTTTTGGTTTAAATAAATGAGCACACCCAAATACCTCAAAGAATGCTGGTGACAAACACTCCAGTGTGACAGAGAAACAGGCCCAGACAAACGCAGTGCCTTACTCAAGCTTATACAGCTCATGATAACTGGCATTTAGGTGGTGTTTTGCATTTCATGGAGTGTCATTTAGTATATTACCTCAGTCTTCACACAGTCCTTAAAAATACCTAACAACTTTATTTAGATTTAATTTATATTTTATTTATTTATTTATTTATTTGCAGGACTGGGGATTGAACTCAGGACCCTGTGCTTGCCAGGCAAGCGCTTATTCTACTGAGCTATCTCCCCGGCCCCTATTTATTTATTTTTTTGTGGTATCAGAGATCGAAGTCAAGACCTTGTGCTTGCCAGGCAGGTGTTTACACTGCTGAGCCATCTCGTTGGCCCTTAATTTATATAACATAAAACCCACCCAATTTAAGTGTGCAATGATATTAGTATATTTAGAGCTGAACAACCAGCATCACAATTTAATTTTAGAGTATTTCTAATACATCCCTCCAAAAGGATATTACGCCAATTTACAATTTCTTTGACTTCTATCCCAGCCCAGGCAAATACTGATCTAGACAACCTTCTTCTTTTTCTTTTTTTTTTTTTTTTTTTTAGACAAACTTCTTTTTTAAAGACATTCTCTTAAAAATTATCATTCTACTTTTATAGAAGATTGATTTGACAATGAGAACTAAAGTAACTGAAATGAATTTGTCCAAGATCTTACAACTAATGAATAGTAAATTCAGGGTAGAATTTATTTATTTATTTATTTTGAGACAGGGTTTCACTATGCAGTTCAGGCAGTCTAATCTCCATTTATAGCCCAGGCTGGCTTTGAACTCCCAGTGATCCTTCTGCCTCAGACTCTAGAGTGCTGTGATTACAGGCGTGTGCCACCACACTGGTAGAATTTAAGACTTCTTAATCCCACTGTAAAGCTTTTTCCATTAAGGACAATACCTTCCTTTCACCGTTGTTTATAATTTTGTTTTTCTTCTCCACGTTTTTACATGAACTTCCTATTGCTAACCCACTCTTCCCTCAGGAAATGTGGAGGGATTTCCCTGAGTCTAAGGAAACAGTACAACATTCTGTCTCTGGAAACACTTTCCTGTGGGCAGGACTCCTGGGGAGAGAGCAGGCCAGCTCAGGGCATGGTGAGAGTTAACAGCCTTTGCTTTCCCTCCTCCTAGTCTTGAAGTGGGCCCAGGCACTATTCCGGCCTCTTTTCCACCAGCTTGGGTGGAAATGGTGACAGAGATTATGTGGTCCAGGCCCGGAAGGGTGGAAGCTGGGAGGGTAAATTTAGTAACTCCATGGCTGAGGGCCCTTGGGACCCACTGCCAGGGTCAGACACTCTGTGGAATGCTGGCTCTTGCCCTTGTTTCCTCTGTAATTCATCTGGGACATGGCTGAAACAGTGAAAGCAGGAAACTCTCCAGGCCTCAGCTTTCCCCAGTAACATTTCAGTAGCCAATGGGAAGTTTCTTACCTTTGCAAGGTGCCCAACGGTTGGGCATATGGAGACACATTAGTACATATAGGGTCTTCTTCATAGTCTCAGCTACCAAAAGCATAGGCCGGGGAAAGAGAGGCAGGTAGGTGGCTGAGGACCAATTTAGGTTCTAGCTCTATAATCTATCTTGTTCCTGAGAACAACCCTTAAGGGCCTTTAAGGACCTTAGCTTCCTAAAGGGTACCATCCCAGGTAAGAACCAAGAGTCCTATACTCCCAATAGTTGCCACTGAGATTCTGAGCTGGTTGCTTTGGGATGCGGTTGATTTCCTTTTTTTTCTGTCGGAACCAGGGATCAAACTCAGGCCTTTGTGCTTGCCAGGGAAGCGCTTATTCTACTGAACCATCTTCCCGACCCCTGAGGTTGATTTCTTGAAGAAAAGATACAGGAGTAGAGATACACAGAGATGGTAGGAGTGTTGGGTTTTTCCCATGTCTCCTTTAAGAACATCTTATTAAGTCCCTGGGAAAAGCAACAGAGAAGAGAAAGAAAGGTTGAGGGAGGGAGTGCCTGCTTTAACCCTGCCACCCAGCTAGGGGCCCTCTGACTTGCAGGAAGGATCTTTGGGTTTTGGGGGCTCCAGATAGCTGGGAACTTTCAGCTGCTAAGACCTGGGTTATGGGTTACACAGGGCAAGAAAACCCAGAAGCATAGCCAGGCTTTGTGCTGGCGAGGTCCAGGACTAAGCCTGTGTCATGGCCAGAGGCTGGAGACCAGGCATTGCCTCGCACCCATCTCCTTATCGGCCCCCGCCTTTCTTTTAGCATGAGAATGATGAGAATAATGCCGGCTGGTGCTGTACCTGCCCTGAGAACCCTGCCACAGAGCCACTTCTTCTTCTTCTCTTGCCCTCACCTGTGTTATGCTGTGTCCCCAGGAACCCTGGAGCCCCAGGACCATGGATGCTCTCAGTAGGACTCTGGTAGGCCCTGGATGCAAGACACAGGCTGTGGTGCAGGTGAGTGGGGCCAGGCCGTAGGGTAAGGGAGCAGTTGTAAGGAGGGGCTTAGGCCTTCTACACACCTCAGATCCCAGCTCAAGAGGGGGAGCAGCAGTTCTGTTTCTCTCCGCCCTTCCAGACCCTAAAACCTATTAACAACTCAGTCTGTATCTGAATTAGGTTAATTGGCTCACTCAGAAACTCCCCTTTGTAAGGCAGAAGCAGTTTACAGACGTCTCCGAGCTGCATCACCTTGGTCCATGCCTCTGCGGCAGCTGTCCGCAGTAGCTTCTGTAGTAGGGGCGAGCAGCAGCCCTGTAGGGGCGAGCAGCAGCCCTGCCAGAGCCGGTCTGGGCCTCCTACTGTGCCCACTTCTCCCCAGCATCCCTGCCTTCCCCGCCTTCTTGCTTTGTTACTGTTTTAGACAAAAAGGGGCAGTTGAGCCAAGACTTGAGATAAATCCAGTGGGACGAGTTAGTGGCCTAGATTCAGATCTAATTACAATTTTGTATGATAATGCTCTGGCCATGATTTTGTGCTAAACCCTTTAGCACCTCAGAGTCCTTTGCAAAGGGACAAGGACTGGAGAGGGTGCTGGTGTGACTGTGACCGGGAAAGTAAGGAGCTGGCCAGAAGTCGGTAATGATGCTCATTCTCTACCACTGCTCCCTGCAGAAAGGACCGTTGGACTTGATTGAGACAGGCAAGGGGCTGAAAGTGCAAACGGACAAACCCCACCTGGTGAGCCTGGGCAGTGGGCGGCTCAGCACCGCGATCACCCTCCTGCCACTGGAGGAAGGTAAGCCGGATGACAGTCCGACCCGTGCCTCCCTCTCTCCCAGGCCTCTGCCTGAGGTAGGGGCCCTCCTGCCATCTGCAGGCAGTGTTTCCTTTGGGTTTTTTTTTTTTGCCTCCCTGGACTTTCTGCCTTCTTTGGTAGATAATCTGGCTCCATGACAGGGATTACAGATCAATTTAGAAACAAGGAAGAGAGCACTGACAGAAACAGGCAGCATGCTGCTCTGAGCTACCAGTGCAGCCAAGATAAAAGGGTCCCCACTCCAAGATGCTAACTGGCCTGGGAGGCTGGGCTGGCAAAGGGAAAGATGGGAGCAGGGGCACCACACCCCAAGGGGAGCCCTAGACCGGTGCCCTTCAGCCTTGGCTTCTGCCCTCCCTTTTCTCTCCTGGCTGCACCTGTTGCCTGGGTGATAACTACATTTCCCACATTCTCTGAATACCAGTCCCAGGGGCTCTGCCAGGGAGGGGTTTTGGGGCAAGGCAGCACTGGAGCGCTGGAGACTCAGGAGGAAGGACCAGGCTGGCTTGCAGGTGGCAGAAAGAAGAGAAATTTAGAAAAAAAAAAAAAAAAAAGAGGGAGGGGCTGGTGAGATGGCTCAGTGGTCTAAAGCACCTACTTAGAACAAGCTTAGCGAAGCCCGAAGCCCAGGGACCGCGGTTCTATCCCCCAGCACCACATGCCAGCCAGCCCGCCCCCTGGTGGGCTGAGCTGGCCACACACACACACACACACACACACACACACTAAATAAATTAATTAATTAATTAAAAAAAAAAAAAAAAAAAAGAGGGAGACTGAGAACAGGAGGATTCCTACAAGTCCAAGCTGCATAGTGAGACCCTGTACCAAATACATAAAAAAAAAAAGATTTAAAAAAAGAGAGAATAGTAGCAAGAAGGGGGAAAGGAGAAAGGAATACAAGGAGGAGCAGTTAGGAGGCTTCCAGAGATCCTCAGAGAAGAAGACCCTCCTCAGGGAGTTGGGCTCCTGTGCTCTGGGGGGGTGTCCCATTCAGAAGCAGTTTTTTCTGCTTGAGCAGAGCTATCAGTTACTGGCTCACAAGGCCTAGGGGCACCCAACAGGGGGTCCCCAGAGGTAGATAAAGATACAAATGAAATTGTATTTTCCCCATGTACTCTTTGCCATGTCCCTGCCTCCTCAGCCTGGTCCCCTCTGACTCAGTTTACATCCTCTCTCCAGGGAGGACAGTGATCGGCTCTGCAGCCAAGGACATCTCCCTGCAGGGTCTAGGCCTGGCTCCAGAGCACTGCTACATTGAGAATCTACGGGGTACCCTTACCCTCTACCCTTGTGGAAATGCCTGTACCATTGATGGGCTCCCAGTTCGACAGCCAACCCGACTCACTCAGGGTAAGGTCTGCTACCCCCAAATTGAGAAAGGGGCCTTTATTTCGAAGCTTGTATATGCTGGGTGTAGGGGAAGCCTGCTGTACTGGTTGCTATGGTAACTGCCTGCCATACTGGCTGGCTCTCCACCTAACATGGCAAAACCCTCCAGCAGCCAGATTTGTCTCCATCCTGCCTTTCTTCTCTGGTTGCGCTTACCTTACTTCCCCACAACATGGAGGTGGAAAAGTTATGGATTTTTGTTGTCAGATGGCCCAGCCCAGAGGGCTGTTGGTGGTTGTTGGGGGACAGCAGGTGGAACAGCAACAAGAGGGCATCAGTGGCAAGACTTAGTGGCACACCCACGTGATCCCAGCTACCTCAGAGGCTGAGGCAATAGATCATGAATCTGAGCCCAGGGACGGGGATATAGCTCAGTGGCATAAGCGCCTGCCTGGCAAGTGCAAGGTCTTGAGTTTAATCCCTGGTACCTAAAAAAATCTGAGCCTAGGCTGGGCAACTTGATGAAACCTTATCTTAAAATAAATAAAAAGGGGAGTGGGTGTAGCTCAGTGCTCCCTGAATTCAATCCCCAGTACTGAATTAAAAAACAACTAGGGTTGGTCAAATAGCTCAGCGGATTAAAGTGCCTGCAAGCAGGCTAGGGGGCCAGGGGTTCGATTCCCAGGCCTGTCATGCCAGCCCTACCGGGGGCGGAGGAGGGTGCACTCTGAGACAGCAACTAAGACTGGGCATGGTGGTGTGCACCTGTAATCCCAGCTCTTGGGAGGCTGTAAACAGGCAGATCACTATGAAGTCGGATCTAGTGGTAAGGCCCTGAACACCCTGTATATCCTTCCCTAAAAAAAAAAAAAAAAAAAAAAAAAAAAAAAAAAAATCAACAACGAAATAAAAAGAAGGAATCAGATATGGCTTCATGATGCTGAAAGAGTTGTTTTGAGAAGCTTAGAGGACAAAGCTGTGGGGATGGGACAAAGGCAGAGTGTGAAGGCGAGATTTGAAGACAAGCCCACTCCTGCTGTAAGACCGCTGACAGTGGCCTCTGCATCATGAACGTGGTAACCGTACTTTCCCCCAGCACCAGGCCATTCTGTGGTGCAAGGGAGGCCCTGCTGTGTAAGGGCCCCTAATTGCTATGGTTACCAAGCAGGCAATGGGTGGCCAGGTGGCACTTTGACAGGCCAGGTGTGTTCACCCTGGAAACAGCGCCCTAGGCATTGATTTATACAGTGAATTGTCTGATTACAGGAAGGAGAAGAAGCAGATTTGGTTGGGGCTGGGAGGGGATGAGCATGAGGATAAGTCCTGGGCTAAGGCTGGACCTTGGCAAGAGGGCCCGCTGTAGCACTGCTTTCTGGGGATTCCATTAGCTCAAAGTCCCTCCTTACTCCAGTCTTCTAAGGTCCTTCTGTTCCTATCCCTTGGCACCTTTAAATACCATTTCCTTCACAGCCCACCTAAGAACTGACCAAACTTCACTCCTGCCTCCTGTCCTTGGGGTGGGTACACGTGTGGATGGCAATTTCAGGGAAGCCGTGATGCAAGCCTTCTCCAGGGCTTCAGCGACTCTGGCTCTGGATAAGAGGAGAAGCCCCCAAGAACTGGGATTTGGCCAAAATGCTATGTAGTTCCTGTTGGGTCTCAGAGAGAGCACCCAGGGCTTGCATGCGTGCAGGTGAGACAGTAGGACAGAAAGGAGGGGCAGGGCAAAGTTCAAAGATGGCTCGGCCCCTACCCCTGTTGCTTCCATGAGTGGGAGCATTCTTGCCCTATGTGTGGTGAGCAGGGCGAGGTGTTCTCTTCCCCAGCCTTCCCAACACATCACTTAGCTCTCTGAGCAAACGGAGGGCCTGAGGCCACCATGGGATTCTTAAGCATTTCCTGTGTTCCCAGTGACCTCCCTTCCCCAGCCAGAAGCCCACCCTGCCAAGTATGTACCCTCCCACTCTCTTCTGACCCTAAACTCCCTTGCCTCCCCCCACCCTCAGCCTTCTAGTCAGGGCTCGCCTGTCTCAGAAGCTTGGCAGCCCACAAGGGGTAGGCGGAGGCACAAAGGAATGGGTGTTCTTCTCCCCAGCCAGCCCCCTCCCCTGGGCTCCAGGAGCTGAGGATTTCCTTGTCTCATCTCTCGAGCAAGGCACCAAGCCCAGCCCTGCCTGGCCCCACTCCGGACATTCTTGGGAGTGCGTTTCCTTGGAAACTGGTGGCTCAGGGGTGCACATGCTATCTCTGTGTGTCTGCATAACTGGACTGTGTTTATATTTCTCCAAATATGTTTGGGATGTAGGGCTTGTGTATCTCTGTATTTGTTTGTGTCTGTCCTTGTGTTTATGATTAGCATGTTCAAGTAGTCGGTAGGGGTGAACCTGGGACTGAGGGAACCTGAATGCCTATGTGTGTTCCCCTGTGTGTACACAAGAACTCAGTGGCCCCATGACATGTGTGTAAGGGGCCATTTAATGGGCATGGTGGCATATGCCTAAAACCCAGTGCTCTTGGAGGCTGAGGCAAAAGGATCACAAGTTTGAGCTGAGCCTGAGCAACCCAGGGACTTAGCAAGACTCTGTCTTACAGACTCTTTCATAAAATAAAATTTTATTTTATTAAAAAAAAAGGAAAAAAAAAAAAGAAAAAAAAGGGGGCCAGGGAGATGGCTCAGTGGAATAAGCGCTTCCCTAGTAAGCGCAAAGGGTCTGAGTTCAATCCCTGGTTCCACCAAAAAAAATTTAAAAAATAAAAAAAAAAATAAAAACAGGGCCTGGGATATAATTCATTGCAAAGGCTCTGAGTTCAATTCCTAGTGTTTTTTTTTTTTTTTTTTTTTTCAAAGACCATTATTTTCTGTCTTGCACCCCTCATCGAGCTGTGTAGATAAGACCCGAGACCTTCCTCTTTGAAAAACAGAGGATTATCTTGGGAATAACAAGGCTGGCTAGGCTGTGGAAGCATCATTCTGGGCATGGTGCCCAGCCATAGGCAATGTGGAGAGACACAGTTATGACAAGCAGAGATGGTGGTGACAGGCTCTTCCAGCAGAGTGCGCTTGGGCTGAGGGAGGGAGGAGGCTGGCAGCAAGCAGATGTCAACCTTTAGCCTGGAGCTATGATGGGAACATGAAGTGAGGGAGCCGGAGCTCCTTGGTTCCTTCCTGGACCCAGGGACTTGGCATGACTGGCTCTGCCCTCTTCTCCTCAGATCAAGGGGCGGGGCTGGGAATGGACCAAGGAAACAGGGCTGCCCCACCCTGGGACCTCAGGCCAGACCACTGAAAGACTGGGGAGGGGGCCAAGTTGGGGAGGGCCCAGAAAGCCACACAGCTCAGGGCCCTGGGATGTCTAGACAGTCCTTACCCGCGCCTGCCATGCGCTGCCAGTCCTTGCCTCTTAAGTGTCCTTTACTTCCTAAGCCCCTCAGTGATGTGGAGACCGTGGGAGGACAGAGCCGGAGGGTAGCTGGGGAGCTATGGTTTCTAGGTTATTCACATGGCTCTCTTTGGGATCTGGGACACTGAGCCTTTCTTTTTCCAGCAGTTGCAGGTACTCCTGTAATTGGAAGGAAAGCCTGCATGCTTGCTCTATATGATAATAAGACTGATAAAGGGCCCTGTGTAGTTTGGTGGCACAGCACTTGCCTGGGTCCTGAGTTCAAGTCACAGTACTCTAAAAAAATAAGAGTGAGAAAGAACTAGAATAGTAAAGCTCAGCTTCCCACTCCCTTGTGTCTGCCTCCTGCTGCATGGCTCGGGCTGCCTGGGACTGTCCAGCTGGCCATCACAGTTTCCAGACCGATGAATCACTCTTCCTGGGGAGGTTGTTTTTTTTTTTTTTTTTTTTTTTTTTTTTTTTTTTAAAGGCTCCCCTCATTTCGTATTTGACCCTATATGGGTCTTCCTTTTTTCTTTGGAATGGAATGAGCTTTGTGGGCATAGTGAGTAAATGTGTGTGCGTGTGTGTGTGTGTGTGTGTGTGTGTGTAGTATGGCACTGTGAGTGGGTGGTAGTGTACTACTCAGCAAGGGCGGAAAATTTTTTCCTTATTTCTGTGGAAGCTTTTTATTTGTGTCTTCAAGGGCTGAGGGAGGGGATAGCTGTGCTTGAGTGACTGTGACAGCAAGAAGGGTTGGAGCTGGGGGATGTGTGTGAGAATATGTGTGTGTAAGTGACCGCGTGTGTAAGGAGGCTGCTCCTTTTCTCACATAGAGAGGCACCATACTACCCTCCTGGGTGAGACCTACGCTAGAAGTACCTACGCTAGAAGCACCTACGCTGGAAGCACCTCGTGGCCCTTTTTTTTTTTTAGACAGGGTTAGGAACTCACTCACTTTGTAACCCAGTCTCGCTATGAACTCGAGGCAATCCTGTCTCAGCCTCCCCAGCGCTGGGCTCACGGGCGAGCGCCACCACGCCCCAATCTCTGGGCTCGGGATTTGTGTCTTATCCCTTCGGCCACTGGCACCTCCCTCGAACCTCTCTCCTCCCTGCCCCACTTTTCCTGCGGCTCCTGGCTCGGCATCCTCCAGCCCGCCCCGCCCTCTCCATCCAGCTCCACACTCGTCTCCTCCATCACTTCCTCTTCCCCTCCTCCTCGCCTTTGTCCCTCCCTCCTGGCTCCCTTCCCCCGCCGCTGGTGGCCGGCCCGCCCCTCCCCGGGCACTGGCGGCTGCTAGCTGCCTGGCTGCTCGCTCCGGCCGGAGCCGGCGGCGCGGGAGGTCGGCCCGCCCCCTCAAAGGCCCGGGGCGGGCCTCGGATCTGCGGGGCCCGCGCTGGTGGGTGCAAGCTCTCCCGAGGTCCGGGGTCGGCGGTGAGTCCTTGGCTCGACCTGGAGAGGATGGGCGCGAGGGAGGGGGATGGGGGTACTCTGTCCCTTTCTGGGGTCCCTTTCAGGCGGTGAGACTCCAAGGTGGGCGCGCCCTGCATGTTCCCAAGTGGGGGTCTGGGCTTGGGGACCCTGCTCCACGGTGCGGACCGCATGCGCCCTGCTCCTGAAGCCTTGCTCCCCGGAGGGGTCGCGGGGTCTCGGTTGGGATGAGGGGAGTCTGAGTTATAGCCAAGAGTGGCCTGTGACGGGAAGGCGATAACCCTTCTCCCGTCCTGCCCAGCCTCCCTCTGGCCAGTCCATTCTGTCCGTGTGGCCAGCAGGCAAGCACTGCCCTCAGCGAAGGTGTGAGCTCCCCTGTGTGTGAGTCCGTGCGCGTGTGAGTCTGTGTGTGGCATTTCCCCTCCACGGTGCGCGGAGGTGGGATCCGCCCTCTCTGCCCAGCGTTCTCTCTCCACCCACCTGCGCGTGAGGCCGGACCCTGAGCCCCGCTGGGCATGGGGGCAGGGAGCAGGATTTTGGCCGGATGGGTCCTGGGTTGTGGGTCTAGAGGGAGGGTTGGCCCTTGAGGGTGTGAAGCAGGAGGGGGCAGAGAGGGGGCGTCCTCGCAGGAACTTGTTTGCCAGGAGCGTGCGATGGTAGAGCCCGGAGTTGGGGCTATGCCTGGGGCCCCTGAATTCAAATAGAAAGTTAATTCGGGCAGGAGCGGGCTGCTCTCAGTCCTGCTGCCCTCCAGCCCACTCTATTAATACAGCTACTGCTCCGCTGCCTGGCATCACTATTTATAGCTGACCGGCAGCTTGGCCACACCCCCTGCGTGGGAGAGAGGTGGGGGCAGGGACCCCACGGCTATCGTGGTCACACTGGAGGGTTCTAGAGGCCCACAGCCTCCGTGGCTGGGTCTGGTTCCACGGGTCTGGCCTGCATTCCACCAGACCCCCACCTCTTTTCTAGCTCCCAGCTCCACCCTGTCCCCCCAACCTGGGTTGAGTGGGTCTGTCTAGACCTTGCAAACTCATCATTAATTAGCTTGTTAAATGGCTGAAAGGAAGAAGAGGGGTCTGGCAGCGCTCTTGAAACAGCTGTGGTTGTAATTAGGTGGATGGTGTGGTTGATTATTATTTATTCCAGTTATGATTACTCTGGGAGCAGCTCCTCTGATTGGTGGGGTGGCAGAGGAACCTCCCCCCCTTTGCAGTCACCCATCAGTCTTTAGAATTGTTGGTGCTGCCTGGGCGGGCCTGTGGGTGTGACAGAGAAGTGGATGGTTTTGTGCACTATGGCCTCCTCAGCCCAATGGCAATGCCCAGAGCCCTAAGAGCAAGACTACTGAGCTTCTCAGTAGGGGGCCTGCCAAAGTACCCATGAGGCCTGAGATGCCCCATGCCCTTGCGGCCTGCCTGAACTAAACTGTCTCATCGTCCAGGAATGTAGACTTCCCTGCCAGTCTTAGCTCAGAATGGCGTGAAGCTTGGGGTGCCAAGTGGCACCAGATTGGGAAGACAGGAGGCTGGGACCAGTGGTGTGGATAGGTGGTAGAGAGCACCAGGGCGTTGGCCTCTCCCAGCTTAGCAGGCTCCCTCCAGCACCTGGTGTGGCTAGAAGGCGGAATTCTGCCAGCCAGGGTTAGGAGCCTGTGGGCACACCTGCTGCTGCACACACTCCTGAGCCCCTGGCTATGTTTTCTGGCTCCCATGCACCCTCCCCCTTCCATGTATTCACTCTCCGGGCAGGACTGGGCTTGTGACTCTTTCCTGGGAATGTGCTTCACTGAAGCTAAGCCCAGTGGCCTCTGATTGGTTAGATTTCAGGGGAGACCAGTGAGCCCGCTGAGGGTGCTTTGCCAGAAGGAAAGAAAGAGGATGGTGGTTGCTCCCAATACTCTCAGAGAGTGTGGTAGCATTCTTAAGGCCGTGCAATGAGGAATTGGGCTGGGTGCAAGCCTGTAATCCCAGTAGTGGGGAGGCTGAGGCAGGATTACTCCGAGTTTGAGGCCAGGCTAGGTTACATAGTGAGTTCAAGACCAGACTGAACTACATAGTGAGACTCGGTCTCAACAAAACACAAATAAAATTCTGTGCCCCACTAGGAACCGGGGATTGAACAAATCTGTGTTTTTGCCTTGTTTTCCTATTTTAGAGTTTTTTACTATTTTATTTTATTTTAGTATTGGTGATTGAATCCAGGGATGCTGTAACTAAGCTATCTCCAGTCCTGTTTAACCAGGGTCTCACTATATTGTTCAAATTGGCTTGGAACTTTGGCAATCCTCCTGCCTCAGCTTCCTGAATAACTAGGCTTTTGGGTGTGCCTCACCACATCTGGCTTTTCAGAGATTGTTGTATGACCCCAGAAGCTGCTGCCTCTCGAACCAACTCTTCTGCCCAGGAGGCAAGTAGCTGGATCTTGAATACTGACTAGGCTTGGGGGCTATGAGTGACTGTGTTCCCTGAGGAAATTCCAGCTTTGTCGGAGTGCTTTAACACACAGAGTAACTCTGCAGTCAGTGGTGTTGTCCCAACCAGACTCAGGTAAAGTGACTTCACTCGAAGATCATACATATCTACTCAGAAGAGTAGAGGAGGATGCAGGTCTTGGCATTTGCCTGCCAGTGTTTCTCCTTCCTGCCCTAACTTTGGAGGGGAGGTGGGATGGGGGTGGCAGTGGTGGTGGGAGCTTATATCAGAGACGGGCAAGGTAGGTGGCTCTTCTGTGCTGTGTGCTGGGGCCACTTCAGCCTTGGCTGCCCCTTGCAAGTGTTTACTTTCTCTGCAGGCTGTATGTTGTGCCTGGGTCAGTCCACCTTTCTCCGCTTTAACCACCCAGCTGAAGCCAAGTGGATGAAAAGCATGATTCCAGTAGGGAGCCGGGCTGCTGGGCCCCCCTATGGCTCTGGCTCAGGTAGGTATCCAGCAGAAGCAGAGGGCTAGGTTGGTGATACCCACTGGATAGTTCTCCTTGCCCACTCTTGGAGTGTTAGGGCACGACAAGACCCATGGTCTGGGCCCACTGCCATATGCTTTTGGCTGGTGGCGAATACTAGGCCATAGGGCTCCTGAGATACAAGGCTGTGTTGCTTGGCTCAAATTAGGGACTCGTGCTTTGAGGGATAGAAGGTTCTGCCAGCTTGAACCCTACGCACTAAAAGATGTCATTTGACCCTCTTGTGTTGCCTCCCCTGAGCCTTATTCTGAAGGGTGGCCTGAACTTTCTGTTGAATCCCCAGTAAACTCTGATGGCTGCCACCTGCTGGTGATCCTGTCCTTGGGCCCTGCCTGGCCCTCAGACCATGCCATGCCTGCTGATGACTCAGAGGAGCAGCTGCAGCTTGTGTGTGAATTATTGATCTCTAGAGGAGAATTGGTGATTGTTCTAGAACCAGCACAGTCCGACCCCTCCAGCCAGCTGTCTGGGGTGTGGGGTACTAACCAGGAGGCTGTCACCCTGAACTGAGCCCTGCCATTTGGATGGCTATGGGGTACAAGGTGTTGGAGCAGGTGGACACCTGCTAGTACACCTGGTATGTGATTCTGTTTTGTTTTGTTTTGTTGGCGGAACCGGGGATTGAATTCAGGCCCTTGTGTTTGCCAGGGAAGCGCTTATTCCACTGAGCCATCTCCCTGGCCCGGGTAGGTGATTCTTGGTGGCCTAAATGTATAGTCTGGGGTCTGAAGAAGAGTAAGTGGTCCCTGTAACCACCAGTATTCCTGGCGGTTCATCAGTGGCCAGCTGGTCTTCATAACTTTGGACCGAATCAGTCTTCCAAAGGTTCTCCAGTCTTCTCCAACCTGGGTATCTTGCAGTCCCCTAGAGTCTGGGAAGCCTGCGTTCTCAGTCCACTCCCTAGTTAATTTTACCCTGTCCCCACCCCAGCCTTGTCATGCCACTCCTTTAACTGTTTGGGGCAGCGGTTCCAAGGATTCCAAACTCCTGGTTGGTTGAGAAGGGCTGGGGCCCAGCAAAGGCAGGCTCTTGCTGGCGTGGCTTAGAGGGATAATTGAAGGCACTGAGCTGCACCTCAGGGCTGGCCAGCTTGCTTCCAGGAACCAGCCATTAACACCAGATCCCTCCCCTGCCTCCGATTGGACACAATTGAGCCGTGCACACCAGTCGCCCAGCCCTGCAGGCTTTGTTTTTTTCCCTGGGCCTCTGGCTGCTGAGTTGGAGGCCCTGATGTCCTATTAGAGTAGGAGGCTCTGGAACGTCTGGCCAGTGCCACAGTAGGTTCCCATCTCCTTTGCAGAATGCCCGCCTGTCCTTCCTAGAAAAGAGGTACAGGAAGATGGGAAACCAAGGTAGGGCGGAGTCTAGTCTTGAGATGAGTTGGCAACAATGGGGCCTAGAAGTTCTGCCGTTGTTGTTAACATTATCCTAAGTTGTTTACAATAGGGCCCTGCCCTTATTTTCTTTTATGAGGGGAAACTGAGGACAAGTCACTTGACCACAGTTACAGAGCAGGCCGGTGACAGTGATCTCCTAGCTTCTCCAGGGCCTTTGCAACCCTGTTGTGCTAGGAAGAGGTGCGCTGCCCTCAGTCTTGTGCATATGTGACTCCCCTGAATCGAAGACCAGGGTCTGAAGCCTCTCTGCTTTCCCCTCAGCCGAATCAGAAAGTCTGGTGAATGGGAACCACACCCCACAGCCTGCAACACGGGGACCCTCCGCCTGTGCCAGCCACAGCTCCCTGGTGAGCTCAATTGAGAAGGACTTGCAAGAAATCATGGATTCACTGGTGCTAGAGGAGCCGGTAGCTGCAGGCAAGAAGCCTGCTGCAACCTCCCCGTTGTCACCGATGGCTAATGGTGGACGATACCTGCTCTCCCCGCCAACCAGCCCTGGCGCTATGTCTGTGGGTTCCAGCTACGAGAACACCTCTCCAGCCTTCTCTCCACTGTCCTCACCAGCCAGCAGTGGAAGCTGTGCCAGCCACTCACCCAGCGGGCAGGAGCCAGGACCTTCTGTGCCCCCTCTAGTGCCTGCTCGTTCCTCCAGCTACCACCTAGCCCTACAGCCCCCACAGTCCCGTCCCAGTGTTGCCCGCTCCTTGGACAGCCCCCGGCTGGGCAGGAAAGGGGGTCATGAGAGGCCTCCCAGCCCTGGTCTCCGGGGCCTGCTGACTGACAGCCCTGCGGCCACCGTCTTGGCAGAAGCTCGCAGGGCCACTGAGAGCCCCCGGCTGGGTGGGCAGCTGCCCATGGTGGCTATTAGCCTGAGTGAATACTCAGCTTCCGGTGCCCGTAGCCAACCCACCAGCATTCCTGGTAGCCCCAAGTTCCAGCCTCCCGTCCCTGCTCCCCGCAACAAAATTAACACACTCCAGGACCGTCCTCCCAGCCCTTTCCATGAGCCTCCGGGCACCGACCGGGTGTTGACAACCAGCCCTTCACGCCAGCTGGTAGGCCGAACATTTTCAGATGGGTCTTGCACCCGAACCCTGCAGCCTCCTGAGAGCCCCCGCCTGGGCCGTCGGGGCCTGGACAGCATGCGAGAACTCCCTCCTTTGAGCCCATCCTTGTCACGACGTGCTCTCTCCCCACTGCCTGCCCGGACCACCCCAGATCCCAAGCTAAGCAGGGAAGTGGCAGAGAGCCCGAGGCCCCGACGCTGGGCTGCCCATGGGACTTCTCCAGAAGACTTCTCCCTTACTCTGGGGTCACGGGGTCGCAGGACACGGAGTCCCTCACCCACACTCGGGGAGTCCCTGGCACCCCGCAAGGGCAGCTTCAGTGGCAGGCTGAGCCCAGCCTACAGTCTGGGCTCTCTTACTGGGGCTTCGCCTCGCCAGAGCCCCCGGGCTCAGAGGAAGCTCTCCAGTGGGGATTTGCGGGTCCCTGTCATGCGGGATCGGAAAAATAGCATCACAGAGATCAGTGACAATGAGGATGACCTCCTGGAGTACCACCGGCGGCAGCGCCAAGAGCGGCTCCGGGAGCAGGAGATGGAGAGGCTGGTAAGCACATGCCAGGGAGGCTGCTGCTGTCCAAGTGGGGTCTGTGCCAGGGCATGGACGGGCCAGCTGGCAGAGCAGGAGGGTCTGTTGGCCTTGGCCTGGGCCCCTCAAGCATCTCCACATTCAGGATGTACCTTAGTGACCAGTATCTCACAGTCCTGGTCCCCTGAAGAACTGTCTCACACCTCTCAGGATTTATTTTATTATAATTTTGAGACAGGGCCTTGCTATGTAGTTCAAACTGGCTTTTTTTTTTTTTGTACTGAGGATTCGAACTTAGCACCTTGTTCTTGCCAGGCAGGTGCTTATGCGGCTGAGCTATCTCCCTAGCCCTTTCAGATTGGCTTTGAACTCACTAGGTAGCCTAGGCTGAGCTTAAACTCCTGGTGATCCCCCTGCCTCAGTTTTCCAGGTGCTGGGGATATAGGCATGTAGCACCACACCTGGCTT